CTCCTTCAACTGAGTACTCTTATCCCTGACAATGATAACTGGTTTCCTTACTTCCTTTCCACTGGATATTTGAGTTGAAAGTAGATGAAAAATTTTCCCTACTTACACAAACAGCAAAAAGGAGACTCCCAATACAATGTTTGCTAAATAAAGGAATTTAAAATATATTATGGCTGCAAAGTTGGTGAGTGGCAAGGTGGTTTTTTCATAACAGTATTAAAATTTAATGTAGCTATGAAAAAACTTAAGAATGAGAAAAATGGCATTTATCTGAGTCACTTTTATAAAATGGTAATTATTTCTATTGCCTACCACCAAAGATTCCATGTGATTTACAAATGTGAACTTCACAGCTATGAGCAGATTTCACTCTACCTCTAAGGTTCTCCTTGAATAACCATCCAAGTTCTGTTATGTCCAGTGGCTGCATCTAAGTCACCCTTCATGAAAGGGTACCCCTGACAAGTACCAATCTCTCAGTAGTTTCTCTCAAATGATACAGAAAAAGAAACAAATAAACAGAGCAAATGATAAAGTAAATGGGATACACTGTTCAAAACTAATAACCTTGATAGAGAAAAGACAGGAATTCTTTGTTTTGTTTTTGCAACTTTTAAAAAACAATTATCAAAAATAATTTCTCTAGGAGATTCCAGCACACAGGCCATGCCTTTTTGTGGGGGAGATGGGTAGCATATCCAGCAGTGCTTGGAAAAACCATATGTAGGGCTGGGGATGTGAACTAGATTGCAGCTCCAGCAACTTCTGCCACAACCACATATGAGGTAAGTGCTTACCTCTTATACTATCTCTTTGGCTCTGGTACCCTATTATCTTGACACCAATCCAAGCTACTCCAATCTCAAGTTTCCTTGCCTATGAGCAAATATCAAGGCATAAGGAGATCCTTCAGTAGCAGGGCTTAGCTATAGCTTCTCGGCTACGACAGTTATTAAATTATTAACTGCCTAAAAATTCCTATTGGTCAAAGATCCAGTAAAGAACCAGTACTATTTCCCCACATTAAGCCCCTTATTTCTTTAGTCCAATGACTTCTGAGTTCTTACCTTTCTTTCAACAAGCTTAGCTATGGGATCAGGCAAAAATTCTTCAAAAGAAAAGTTATATCTTGCTGCTACCCAAGAGAAGCACAGATTCAGTTCTATGGTGAATGCTTTGCTGCTACTGTCTGTGAAGAAACCTACAGGGAGGAGGCAAAAATAGCAATGGGGAATCACAAAGATTCCAAAAAAACAGAAAACCCAAAGCAATAGTTATTTTCTCCATAATGACAGTTTGCTTTTATTCATCATATCAACCTACTCATCCCAGATTCTCCCCATTCCACAAATCAAAATGTTTCAGATTTCCCAGCCCATATAACTGGAAGAATGGGCAGAAACTTGTAAATCATTCAAGTGTCACCATAGTAGCCATTTCAGAAGAATACCAGATAGGTGTCATATAATTTCTACCACCCACATATGAGGTGAGGCAAATAAAGGTCAGAGCATGTTATCTCCTGATGAGACATTTTCTTCAAATAAGCCAGTGTATGATCTGTACCTGAGCTAATATTTTTTATAAACTCCACAAGGAGGTATATGTGTTATGTCTAATATTAAACCTCACTTTTTGGCCCTGGGCTCTCTATCCCTGTTCTAGTTCTAGACTCCTAAGAACTCTGTCTTCATGAACACCCAACACCTGGCCTCATGTACCCACCACTCTCCATACACACACAAACAGACTCCAAAATACTTGCTAATTCCAGTTAGGCCTCAACGTACTGGACAGAAAGAAATGGCTTTGTGTAGCTTAGGGGAGAAAATGGTTGTCATGATTGGTGGAACACAAAAGAGGAAAAAGAGAGGCATTATCAAAGGAGAAGATCACAGCCAACCTACAGCCTTCATCATCGTTTGTTCTATATTTTAACTTTCACTAACCTGTATCTTTCAACTGTAATGAAAGCCCTGTACCCATCACCTGTCCTGCTTCTAGGATACCTCTTCTATAAGCCAGAAAGTGAACCACAGGCCCGATTAGGGCTGCTCTAAGTCACTCCGGGCTCCAGCTGATCAGAAATACTTCCAGAAGGAAGGCCTTTCTCTCTTAATAAGTTGCCTGTTGTTAAGATTCGAAGTATCCTATAAGGAGGTATTTACTACATTGACAAAATACAGCATTATGACTCAGGAAACATAGAAATAGCAAATGCAGGTTCTGGAACTAGACCTGTGCTCCTGAGTATTCCAAAATGACTAGATGAAGAATGAAAGAATGCAAGGATCTGTCTCAAGGCAACAATACTGGGGCAAGAGCTCTTCTGTAGTAAACAAAATTGTACAGAAGAGTACAGTTGAAAAAGGAAGCATTAATGATAGCTAACATTAATTGAGAAACACTTCTCAAAGATCTCATGTAATCCTCGCATCTCTTCAATGGAGATATTATCTTTTCACAGTTCAAGTATTTAAGCTCAGTGCTCACTTTAAACGAAATGATATGTTATAGTTAGACTAACTCCCAGCTAAACAAAAGAAAAATGGGGAAAAACATCTATTTTAACATATCCAGAGTGATCAAAGACAACTACACTGTGCACAAGGTATGGAGGTCAGTGATTCATATTCCTACTGTTCACGGATACAATGAAATGAAAATGTTGAATTAAATAAAAACACAAAGTTTTGTTCAAGACAATTTTTCTTGAGCACCCTGCCCCCCTCGCCAACGCGCGCCCCCCTAACTACACCTCCCCCCTTTCATTCCCGCACTACCTTACGCTGACAAGAAGTGGCTGCAGGGGAGGTATTTAAGAAAATGACTCTAAGAAAGCGAATTTTGGGTTGCTTCAAGTAAGTAAAGATGTTGTGCAAACAGGTTTTACCTAAATTATTTTCCACTCATCTCCAAGCTGAGAGAAGCAGACAGTTATCTTCCTCAGAAGGTATACAGGGAGTTAGTTCACCTTTACCTCCAAGCCACTGGGCAGCACCATCCACACAGTTTTGATTTCTTATACAATCAGGCCGCCAAGGGGTGTGTGGGGAAGCTCATCTCTCAGTCCGAAGATAAACTGCTGGCCCAGGAAAACAACACAAAAACAAAATCCCCAAAGCCCCAAGAACAGCACCAAACCTCGTGCACATCTAAAGCCACGGAGTTCTCAGCCACACCAGAAAGTCAGAGAGGCAGCCAAACAAGTTTCTTGCCAAATGCCTAACAGTTACATATGACCCAGGGCTACACAACGATACCGTAAACTTGAAAACCTGACTTCTCTGACCACCATTACTGTCACTCAAGAGCCAACTCCATTGGCCCCTCACAAATCACACATGTAGGATGCGCCGGGCCATTTAAAGCCAGACTTCAGGCAAGCAGTGGCCCTGAAAAGCCAGGAGAAAAAGACCGAACAAGGGGAGGGTTAACTTTTTTTAAAACTTTTATTAGTGAGACATCATGAGGTACAGTTGTAGACTTAAAAATTTTTGTGCTTGGGTTTCAATTATACCATGATCAAATACCCATCCCTCCACCAGTACCCATTTCCCACCACCACGGATCCCAGTATCCCTCCCACTCCCCCATCCCCCCATCCCCCCCCCCCCCCCCGCCTCTGTGGCAGGGCAAGGGGAGGGTTAACTTTTTGTGTTAAAAAAAAACTTCGATTGCCCCGTGGCAGAGGGAATCAAATCAACTCGATGAGTGGATAAGTTAAACTTTGCCGTTCGAGCGGTGGGAAAGTTCCCTCTTCACCGTCCCCCACCCCGTAAACCTCGCCAAACACTCACGCGTTCCCACCCCACCAGCCCTCCCCCGCCCCCCCCCCAGACCGCCCGGGGTTTGGAGGTTTCGGCGGCCACCGACCCACAGCGCCCGAACAATGACTGAGGGGGAGGGAAAGTTGGTCGCCTGCGGGGCGCCTGCGATCCCGCCGTGGGGCTATACTCAGGGCCTCCCCGCGCCGGCCGCCCCCCCCCCCACCTCAGGCACTCGCTCCTCCGCGCCCCCTCCGCAAACCTGGAAAAGCCGGGGTGCGCCCTCGCTCCGCGGACGAGCCCCCCGGGTGGCGGCTGCCAGAACAGGTCCTCCCGCCGCGGGGTTGACCCCGTGAGCCCCGACTCCGGGCAGCGAGCGAGAGAGGGAGGGGGCACCTGGGAAAAAAGCCGCCACAGTTATGGCGCTCAATTCCTGCCTGAGGGAAGCCGCGGGCTGCAGCCGAGCCCCAGCGTCCGCCCCCGACCCCGCGACGGCCCCCCGCCGCGGCTCCGGCCGCCCTCGGGGCAGCCGGGCACTTTCCCTCAGCCCACACACACGCTCCCGGCCAGAAGACGCGGGGGACGAGGGCGGCGACGGCGCTGCTAGAGCGACCCCCAGCGCGGTGAGGCTGGGCCGGGACCCTGCGCTCCGCGCCGCCCGCCCGGGCTCTCTGAGGCCGCCGCTCTGGCTTGCCCCGCCGGCGCGACAGCCCCCAAACCGCGTTCGCGCCGCGTCTAGCCCCGGGGGCACTTACCTTCGCTAGGCGCGCTCGCCGCGTCTTCCCGGCTCTCCTCACGGGCCCGGTTCCGTGCCGGGCGAGTCCGGTAGGAGTGGTAACCGCCCCCCTACCCGCTCGCTTTCTTCTCTCCGCTCCCTCGCACCTGCCCCCGAAATCTCCTCCCCACCCCCGCCCCCCGCTCCGGCCGCTCGATCCGCCGGAGCCTCCCCCTGTGTTTCGGCTCCCGCCCTCGGCCCTCGCCCGCCCGGCCCGTCAGGCCTCAGCTCCGGGCAGGCGGTTGGGCGGCGGCGGCGGCGGTAGCGGCAGCAGCAGCGGCGGCGGCGGCGGCGGCGACAGCGGTGGTGGTGGTGGTTGGTGGCGGCGGTGGCGGCGGCGGCGGCGGCTGAAGCAGCGCTGAGCACTATTGTATTCCTGACACTGTGCGCTCCCACGCTCCGCCTCTTCCCCTTCCTTCTTGCCCCCCTCCTACCGCTCCCCCCCCCCCCCTACTCACCCGCAAGCGCCGGCCGCGCTTGCCCTACCCGGCTGGCTCCCCGCCGTTCGCCCGCCGAGCGCTCTTCTGGCGGGCTGGGCGCCGTCAGCACAGCGGGCGCGCCGCGAAGCTCCGCCCATTCGTGCTCCCGCACCCGCGGCGCTGTGCTCCAGGTGGGTTCTTCGCCGCTCCCGCTGGGCGTGCTGCTGCCGGGAGGAGCCTCGGCCCGCTAAGTGCCAGAGAGGACGGCTGGGAGGTGCTTGGCTCTGTTGAAACGCAAATGGAGCTTGTCCTGGCGCCTTCCTATTCTAAAGTTCTCCAAGTAGCACCTTCGTGGATAGAACTCGTAGCCGGCCGCTGTTGCTCTAGCTTGCTTGTGCATGCATTACCTATAATAATAAGGCGAAGGTAGCTAGTAACGAAGTATGTGCATCCAGTTGCCAGTACAAATGGTTTATGATGTGTGGCTCTTTGATATGGCAGGTAGGTGAAGCTACAGCCCTCAATTATTGGATCGAACGCTCAGCTAGGTGCTGCTCTGTAGATATTTTGATGATGTAATTAAAGCTCCTTATCTGTTGCTCTAAAAAAAGAGAAATGATCACGGATAATCGTGATGGGCCCTACTTTTCCTCTCTAAGTGCATACACTACAGATTTCAGATTTTCTTAGCCAGCCTCACAATTGTGTAAACTACTAGCTCCTAATGAATGAATAATATATGTGCTTGTGGTTGTGTGTATGTGTGAATGTTCCCAGTAGTCGCCTTCAACGATAGTGACTCATAGAAATATTAAGCAACAGACCCTTTTTGATTTGCTTATCTGTGTTTGGAATTACCAAATTACCAGGTACAATTACCATGAACTCATATTGTCATTTTCAAGCACATTTATGGCTAAACAAAACCGTAGGCTTCTTTGTACTTCATTTTCCATATTGGAAGCACGGTCCTCCTGTTGTTCGTCGATTTTCTCGAGCGGGCCCAGTAACGTCTCTATCATGAGACTTTGTTGTTACTGTGTTTGGCGTATCGAATCACGGGTAGCTTGCCAGGCTCTGCGGTGCGGGCGAGATATTCTCAGTAGCTTGCCGGGCTCTCCGAGAGGGGTGGAGGAATCGAACTCAGGTCGGCCATGTTGGCAGCTTGTAAGGCAAACGCCCTACCACTGTGCTATCGCTCCATATTAAATTAAATTAAATATAAATTATAAGATGTAAAAATCATAAAATTAAAGATGTAGCTATTTAATAATACACAAATATATGAATTCTAAAATATAGTCTCTGGTCCGTGGTTGGGAGCTTGACACAAGTGAGTGGGGCAGTTAGGACAGAAAAGGGACTGCTATGGCAGTGATAGTGGGAAATGATCACTCTGTAGAAGAACTGAGTGCTGAAAGGAGGTAAAGGGATATACATGATAACCTTTCAGTACCAAACTGCACAAAAAGGGGAGAGAGAGAGAGACAGAGACAGAGAGAGAAAGAGAAAGCAAAGTGTCTGCCATAGACACTGGTGAAGGGAACAGATGATGCAAGATTTTATGACTGAAACCCAATCAGGAACAACTTTGTGATTGTATATCTCATGGTGATTCAACTTTTAAAATGTGAAAAGATGCTCATTTGCACGTAGCACAAAAGCTAGGATATGGAAAAAAATATACTCCTTCTAGCTGTCCTCATTTTATTTTAGTATTTGAAAATAATTACAGAATTATGGCATCTGTAAAAAATATTGTACAGTATTTCTGTGTGTTCTTCACCCAGTTTCTCCCAGTTGCAGTAACATACAAGGTAGAGACCTTGGTACAATACATACACCTTGTTCAGATTTCACCAGTTTTTCATACACTGTGTCTGTGAATATAGTACAGTTTTAGCACCTTATTTAGATTTCACCAGTTTCCATACACTCATTTCTATGTCTATGAATATTGTACTATGTGACTTAAATCATGTGTGTAATCAATGTAATTAACTGTTCCTCCAGCAAAGAGATGCCTCCTGCTCCCCAGATGGTCAGCAGTCCCCTCCTTCGCTACTCTAATCCCAGTCAACCCCTAACATGCTCTCCATCTCTATAATTTTGCTATTTCAAGAGTGTTAGGTAAATAGAATTATACATTTTGAAATGGACTTTTCTTCACTTAAGCATAATTTACTGGAGGTTTTATGTATGCAAACAACCCAAGTTGGCATTGCTAATATATATATATATAGATGTATATATTAGTCTAGTAGTGATTTCTCCTTGTTTTTAATTGCATTTTTCCTAAAAGCTAATGCTGTTGAACATTTTTTCATGTGTTTGTTATCTGCATATCCTTTAGTAGCACTTGTAGCACTGTAGCGCTGTCTTCCCATTGTTCATTGATTTGCTCGAGCAGACCCAGTAACGTCTCCATTGTGAGACTTGTTGTTTCTGTTTTTGGCATATCGAATACATCACAGGTAGCTTGCCAGGCTTTGCCGTGTGGGCGAGATACTCTTGGTAACTTGCCGGGCTCTCCAAGAGGGGCAGAGTAATCAAACTCGGGTCGGCCAGGTCGGCTGCATGCAAGGCAAATGCCCAGCTGTTAATGTCTTTTGCCTGTTTTTTAATATTATTGTTTCCTTCTTACTATTCAATTTTGAGAATATGAATAATCTAGATACAAGTTCTCTGTGAGATAAGTGGTCTACATATATTTTCCCAGCCTATAACTGGTCTTTTTATTCTCTTAAGAGATTTTTGCATGGCCAAGTTTTGTTGAAGTCCAGCTCGTCAATATTGACATTGTATATCATGTTTTTTGTGCCTAAACGTTTTTGCCCATGACTGGAGAGCTGACTCAGTGGTAGAGCATTCTTGGTACTGCAAAATCCATAAATAAATAAAATTTGCCTAACCACAGGTCCCATACGTTTTCTCTTATGTTTCCTTTCAGAAGTATTATCATTTTATGTTTTTACTTTTATGCCATGATTCATTTCTGTGTTAATTTCATTTAATTTCAATAAATTAAATTTAAGAAAATCTATTAATTTTAAGAGCATTAAATTAAGTTAATTTATAATTTTGTATTACATTTTTGTATAAAACCTGTAGAGGTTTATGTAGTTTTGAGTATGGACATATGATGCTCTAACACTGTTTGCTGAAATTATTTTCTTTCTTCCATTGAGAACTTTGCTGTAGTAACTGGCATATATGTGTGAGGCTATTACTGAGATTTTATTTTTTTGGTGGTGGGGGGATTCGGCTATACCCAGTGGTCTGAAGGGTTTACTTCTGGCTTTGCACTCAGGGATAATTTCTGGCTGGCTTGGGGTACCAGATGGAGTTCCAGGGATGGAACCATGGTTAGCAGTGTGCAAGGCAGCTGCTCTACCCATTGTACTATCTACCTGGTCACCTCTCTTTGAGATTTATTTCTTCTACTGTGTTGTTTCTGTCTCTATGAATACTACATTATTGTGATAACTATAGCTAGGTAGTAAGTGTTAACATTTGGGTAAAGTGTGATTACTCCCACCTTCTTCTTCTTCAAAATTGTTTTAGTTATTCGGGATCATTTGCCTTTCTATCTCTCAATCTACATAACCCTTGCAGGAATTTTGGTAGGAATTGTATTCAACCTATATTTCTATTGGTGGAAAGTTAACATTTCTACATTGATATATCAGTATATCAACTATATTGATATTTATGATCCATGAATATGATATATGGTCTCTATTCAGATATTTGATTTTTTTCATTAACATTTTGAAAATGTAAGAATGCAAATATTATGCATGTTTAAGTGTATAACGTATTTCATTTTGGGGGGAATGATTGTAAATAGAAATTTCATTTTTGTTTTCCTAATGCATTGTGAATTAATAGTCTATAGAGATGAATTCAATTTTGTGAGTTGGTCCTATATCTTTGATTGCTAAATCTACTTACTAGTTCCAGTAGACTTTGTAGGTTCTTTGGACTTTTCTATACAGAGACTTTTCACTATTTTTCCTAAAATTATTTAAACACCGTGATTTACAAAATTGTTCATAATACAATTGTTTCAGGCATTCAATGTTCCAACACCACTCCCTCAACCAGTGTGACCTTCTCGCCACCATTGTCCCCAGTTTCCCACTCACTCCCAAGCCTGCCCCCTTAGCAGACAAAAAATTTATTTTACATTGTTTGTTACAACAAAATGACAAATGGAATTATAAAAAATAGTTCAGTAAAATAAAATTTGTGAAAAATTGTTTTATCTGATATAGGTGTTAAAAAGTCATTGTCTGAGGATTTACTGAGCTGTTTGTTGCTAGTTGAGCCTTCTGACTACACAGATATTTTACTTGGTGGTGAATGCAGTCTTATTTCTTCCCTTCAGATCTGTATGCCTTTTCTCTTTTCTCATTTCATTGTGCAGTCAAGAACTCTCAGTCATATATTGAGTTAGAGTGGTATGTGCAGATAGCCTTCCTTTGTTCCCTGTATTGGGAAAAAAAATCTTATCTTTCACCCTTAAGAAAATTGTTAAAGGGGGTATGGTGTTGCTAGCAGGTCAATCTGTACCTGTGAGGCGAATGCATCAGCAGCCTGATGGCACCTTCAGACTTCCAGATACCCCAAAATTGCTGCTGTGCCTTTAGCCAGACCCAAAAAACTTGAGGCAGTTTACCAAGAAAGTAAACGGCCAAAAATTAGGTATGTGGGAGACACACCCACAAACCACCTCCAGCTCAGCTATATAATTGGAAGCATGGCCTCTCTGGTTCCTGATTGAACTGCTTGATGGCCATGATCCCAGAGGCTCAGAAACAAATCTCAAAAACCCAACTGCTTTTGGCTGAAATGCGTTCAGTCCCTGCAGTAGGTTACAGGCACTGGGCCACCCCAGGTGGGAATAGGTTTTGTGCCTTGTCCTGTTCCCCCTGGTGACCTGGTGGCCATCATCCTCCAGAGGCCACTGGAAAGTCAGGTTTGGGCCCACTGACAAGACACGTAGGGCCTCATAGGATGGAGGTAGAGCCAGCCCTTTCCTCCGTGTCCCAACGAGACCCCAAGTCGCTGCCCATGAATGGCCTCTCTGGCTCCTGATCAAGCTGCTTGATGGCCATGATCCCAGAAACTCAGAAACAAATCTCAAAACCCAGTGGCTTTTGGC